ACCGGACTACTCATTGATATGCTAAAGGCTAACTTTGGCAATACCAATGATGGCAACACTAGCAGGAGATTCTTTGCAAACCCAGAATTAGCTGCTGAGATCACAGGGATTAGCTTTGAACTGATCTATAGATTGAAGGTTCTATTAGAAACAATATCAAGTGGTCACAAAATTGACAAAGTAAAATATGATGAATATGCATATGATACCGCAAAATTGTATATAGAACTGTATGGGTGGCACCCAATGACTCCGACCATGCATACAATATTGATGCATGGTGGACAAATAATTCAAAATTCCCTACTTCCTATTGGCCAGCTATCGGAAGAGGCAGCAGAAGCCCGAAACAAACACTTCCGATCGTATCGGCTTAACTTCGCTAGAAAGTTTTCGAGAGAGGAATGTAATTTAGATGTATTTAATAGACTTTTCTTAAGTTCAGACCCCCTAATTAGCTGCATGAGAGAAATACAGAAACCTTCACGCATAGCATTCCTCCCTGAAACAATAGCACTATTGATGTCTGCCGAACCAAACCATTCTTCCATCAGCTCTCTGATGGAAGAATGGTCCGAAGATAAAGACGATGTTATTTAGTTATAATTATGTTATTTTATATTTAGTGCATGATATTTTTACGTTATAATAGGTAAAAAGTATTTTTTCATGTATTTTTTGTACTTGCCCTAAAAATTGCTATTTCTTGCCAAAAAAAATGTGTAACTATGAAAATAATGATTTGTTTTTTAATAACGTTTTTTTTTTACATTATATATCGTATGTTTAACCAAAAAACACCATAAAATATGTTTGGCCGCCCAAATCTTTAAAATCTACGTATGTGCGCCGTCTCAAAACCTTCCTCAAGACTTTATTTGGCCTTTAATTTTCTTTCGTAATCCCTTCTTAAGCCACCGGGATACAATTTTCAAATGAGGTACTCACGTGAGATCACTCTTTTGACTTTATTGATTCATCTTAATCTAACTGTTTTTTTTTCAGGTATTAGAAGTATTTTGTAAGTGTACTCATTGTCTTCTTTGAGTTTCCTGTAACCCCATTCTTTTAGAACCGCTTATCTTCCAATACCCTGTCTAGACGCCCCCTTCATCCGCAATTGTAACAAGACCTCACACCCCTCCCGTTACTTCCTGCATGCAGTTGGAGCGTGTAACAATGAGCCGGCAATTCATTAGATTTGCCGAACAATAGGAGGGAGATTCAGCATTGTGGGGTCCACACCCCAAGTGCAGATAAAATACTTGAAAAAAATTCGGAGCGTCAATTTAATAACTCCCTGAATGGAAAATCGAAATTGGAATAGAAATTCGTTCACTTCCTATTTTTAATTTTTTCAATTTAGTTTTTGGTATAGTTTTTCCCACAAATCAAAGTAACGTATGGTTTTTTTAAAAACAAATGTATGCGAATTTATGACGTACAGATAACAGCCAGTTTATCTAGTAAACGCGACGTGCTTTTACATATATATATCTTTCAAGATAAAATTTATTTTCAGTTGCACATACACGCGTCCAAACGTGCTTTCTGCCATATGAGAGATAATTTAATTTATAGCCGTAGGTAGACTTGCCTCGGTTAACGTATTTAGACTGGTTTACGTGTTTAAGTTTCTGCTTGCGTTTCGTCCAACAGTAAATTTCAATTAGGTACACTTAAATTAGTGAAATTGGGCTGGCGCGTTGTTTATCCTTGCTGTGAAAAAGAAAACTTAAGCTTATATCAGCTTACTAAAACGGCACGAGTGTAATTCCATGTTACATGCTCCATGATGCATTCCTCATCAAGTTGTATTAACATTTTATAATAAAAAAGTACGAAATATACCCATCACAATTCAGTAAATTCCGTCCCGTACAGAAAGGTTTTACCGCTATCTCGAAACAAAGTCGTAAATTACATTAGCACTGCGATGTAGACAACCAGTTTCTTTGTCAACTCTTTCTCCTGTATCTACCGGCGGCGGTGGTCGCAAATGTTGCACCAGCCAACGTAATTTACTCGGATATAGAAGTGCACGTCTGGGACAAGCGCAAAAGAAACGACAATAAGACGTCTCGGATTTTCCGGAAAGCAAATCTGATTCCGTTTTCTAATTTCCCAAGATAATACAGTAAAGCCTCCTTGAGCCTGTACGTGCACTTCAGGATTTTCGGACGTTATTCAATGCTTCTCCCGCGATGCACCCAGACCGCATCACCGTAGATAAATAAATATCCGACACATTTTCGATATATAGGACAACGGAAACCTTTTCAATTACTTTACATCGTCTTTCTTTTCTTAAAGAAATACTCTAAATTTCTATTTCAAACTTAAATTCTCTTCAATTCATCAATTTCCGAATAAATTTGTTTAGAAATTAAAAATTTGTTTACAAGAATAGTGAATTTGCAACTCCTATACAAGCTCACAAATGCAACCTTCTGCTAAATAGTAATGAGGTGTTACAAGTGCTTGTGCTCAGCTTGTAAAGTAGGTTAGTGCATGTGGTCGCAAAATGCTCATTACAGCCCTCCACCTCGTCGTGCTGGACCACACTTAAGGCGAGATTAAATCATCGGTAACGTGTGGGGATTCACACCTGCCCCGTCCCACGCAGAGGTTTTCGCTTTGCTGGTGGTTCTTCTTCTAATTCCAGAGGTTCTAAATTAAACAGAGGTTCTAATACAAAAATATAAACAATTATTTAAAACAAATGTATTTTATTTATATTAGTTTTTCGAGAATTAGTGATGAAAGAGTTCGTTAAGGTGTTATACGGATAGGAAGTCTTTCATCGTAAATAACGTACTTGTAGTACGTTTTCGACCACGAGGTGATCCACTAAATAACGTGGAAAGGTTTTATGTTCTCTGAAACCCCGACGAAATGGGGAAATTCTCACCTTACCTATAAGCAAGCCGCCTTGTGTGAAGGCGTAAAGAATAAAATAAGTCGCGCGCAATGTGTAAGAAGTAGTATTTCCAGAGAGGTGTATTGTGGCCCCATAGAGCCCAGGTGCTATATTTCCGACGATTCGCGTGACTTGGTCAATGACGGGGAACATGGAGCGGAAGGGTCTAGAAGGAGCACATATAGGATATAAATAAACAAGGCGAAGAAAATTTGTTGGTGGTTTTCAATTATTTTAGCTCGGAATAAAGGTCATTATTGTTAAAATCAATATGATGTAGATATAAAGTTTTAGAAAGACTTTTAGACCATTTAAATTCATACTTCCAACACTTCCAACTTCCATTCATACTTGTAACCCCAGATAATAACGGTTGATTGAATCCGTAGAAATACGCATCAATTCACCGTAACGATAGAAACGAACGAGCCTTGTGGGACACTTTTGCCAGCGGTGGCAAAGAAATCATAATGGAACTAATTGCTAGGTGGCGTTGAGCACGTGCCAGTGACGGGAGGAGTGAAATTAAACAAGGGGTGGTCACCCCTGTATCACGGTTACTTAAGTCTGGGAATATTGCGCTTTCAAAGTTTGCTTGTTAAACGAATTGCGATGATTACTGACTATGCAAAATTTTACGATGGGTTACTAACGAGGGCATCGGAAGTGAACTTTACGCTTCAAAAAAAATTTAATAAAATTGATCGAAATACGTGTGAAAAGAATCCCGTTTCTTTATTTCTCCCCAAACGCGGTGGATTTCCCGAAAGGACTATACACTCTCGTTCGAGGTAGTTGCAAGTAAGCTGCAAGCCTCTCCGCGGTAATATAACAAGGAGAAAAAAAAACACTTTCAATTTGCTCTCTTTTGGTTGTAGGAGGATGTTTATTACACCAAGGAAGTGAAAATATATTGCAGCAAAATGTAAATTACATCCTCCGAGGAACGTTCTCTAAGTTTTTTTGATGTACGACCTTGTTGCTTTTTGAATAGCTTGGGACTCCGAGATCCTTTGCAATTTCAGATGCTATTTAAGCATATGGACTAATTTGAATACTGAAACTTTATTTTGTTATATCTAACAAATGAAAAGTTTTAAAAAAGTATATAGAGTTATACGGACGGTAATAATTGAATTAAAACTAGAAACTAACACTAGCACTATCACTAGAACTAACACTAGACTTAGAACTAGAAAGATTCGAAAAGAATCACCCGAATATTTCTCGTTCTAGGTTTAATGTTAGTTCTAGTGATAATGCTAATGTTAGTTTTAGTTCAAGTAATGTAGTAATTTTTGATTTAATTACGTAAATATAGCATCTACGGCGTTAGTGTATCTAACGCAAATTGCAGTTGATGCTCCTAATGATGTTTGGATTTATCGAAACGTTCTATTGTATACGTTTCTCGAAACAGTGGTAATTTAACCCGCTGCAGATCCATAATAAATTTCCAGTCCGCTATCACTCGCACGATGATTGAACACGTAATCGCGGAGTTTATAAATTAAGCACAACGAACTGCGCTACGTATTTGCTGATTCCATTGCTTTATCTCCACACTCGGTCGACCAAAATTCGTTATTAACGTAGGGGTCCAATGTATCCTCTGACCATCGTTGGGATCCTCGCGCAGTTGTAATTTATAGTGTTTCTTTATGTTGTTTGTTTTGGCTGTTGGGCATCGTCGCGGCCAAAACAATGCTATGATATATTCATTACATATAGCCGTGCGCAAATAGCGTCCCCCATTAATTGCCGGAACTAGTTTCACGACTGCGCCGGCTGAAATACAGGTATAGGAAATTCACTGCTAAATGGGGAGTTTGCGATAATATCGCCAGCTATAGATTTCCTCGAACAATAACAGTTTATATACCCCTGTTTGTATTTAAATTGCAAAGTGTGGCCCGTATGAGACTGAATCTATGCAATTTATACACTGTTTTCACGGAAAATAATGAAAATTACAGAAATAAACTTGCTGTTATTATTATTTATTCACACATATTACCATGGAATATTACTTAAATTATTTTTAAAATATCTCGAATATTATTTTTAAATAATTCATCAATTAAACGGTACAATTATACATAGATCTTATTTTTCTAATATCTCCAACGCTGAATCCTTTTCTTTGTCCAATTTGAGCCTTAGGTTTATTGGTAACAATGGTTGGTTTTTGATTAATGCTGAACGCATAAGCTGAGTAATGCATAACCGATTCATAATCATAATCGACTCCAAATCCGCTCGTTGTATCTTTTGGAACTTTTTGGAAATTATTTTCGTGACCTTTCCCTATGTTATTCCACATAATTTTAACGAAATCGTCTCTTTCATATCTCGTGTGTTCATGATGAAAACCCAAGGCGTGCATAAGTTCGTGAATTGGAGTTCCAACGGTTGATAAGCAACCTGGACTTTGTAAATTGACTTCTTGAGCACCTCCAATACGACCCACGCTAGACCAACATCCAGTTTTTGTGTTGATTATACGAATGTAATCAGTATCATCGGGTTGTTTTCTTCTAAATCTAAGAAAAAAACGTTTAATTAAATTCTTAATAAATTTGTTTATTTACCTTATGCAAGTATTATCGTGATATTGCTTTATTGCATTTTGAATCATTTCTTCATCTTTCATAGTATAAGGTCCCTCAATTACATATGGAACCACGGATCCTTCCCATTTAGCACTAAACGCAACAAGTCCATTTCTACCTTTCGTTGGAACCAAGATATCACCTTCTAAATATCCCCCTACTTCTTCTGGGTTAATATTAGAATCAATCGTCCATTCGTTTACCATTTTTCCCACTTCTTCTTTGGGTACCCCAAAAATACTCGTTCCATAATGAGTGATGTTGATGGAATCCTTTTCGGTTGCAGAAGTTGCAAAAGTGGTTAAGGTAACTGCAAAAATAATGCGAACGAAATACATCGTTGTTGTTAGTAGTTGGTGAAGACAACTGATTTGAGTCGTTTCCAGCGTGACTTTATATAGCTCAAAAAACTAATGGTGCTGATAAAATTCGTAGAAACATGGCCCAAAAAAATTAAAACGCAAAATATTTAAATAATAGTCGAGTTCCTGTCCGACAAGATAATGAACGACAAGAAATTCTGATAAAGGTTCAAAGAACGGTTCGCATAAAACTTACCCCATAACTGTAACGTTTATAAAGTTTTCGTAATGTTACTTCCCTTTTATCTGTATCCATGTGCCATCGAATGTGAATTGGCAATTTCGCTGAACCTGCCGTTCGTATATATCGATACTCTCCGTCCAAGTTTCTATGATCGTATCTGCTATTCGTTTACTTTATTTTACGGGTACCGACGAATTGTGATAGAAGAAAATACTCTAAATACTACAGTTATTATTTATATTAATTAAAATAAGTTAAAATTGGATCAAATGTACTTCGCTTATAAAATTACATCGTTTTCATTAATGTGAATTATCAAATTAGAGGACGTTTCTTTCGCGTTTATTTTGATTGCTTCGCAGGCATTAACGAGACTTGGCGTGTTTCTTGTAGAAAAAAGATCATTTAATTTTGTTTGTCAGCATTTCCTTCGTCCCTATCACGTAATAAAAGAAATTGGTTTAACCTTTACGTTTGTTCAAGATGTTATCTGGGAATTTAATACCTTAAAAGACCCTTTTCGCCCTAGTATGCATTCTGTTATTCACCTGTAATCTCGCTACCATATCAAAACGAGGTATGAATGCGGTGCTAACAAAATTCCTATCTCTTTTTTGCAACGAATAATTATAATTAAATGAATAAAAATTGGTTGTAAGCTCAGTTTTTGTTTTATAACAAAAGTTTCTAAATTGTTTATACTTACACACGCCGATCTAGACGAACTTAATATAGAAAAAAGAAATTTTTATTAACGTTTGGTTAAATTAGTGCGGAGAACAAAGAATCGTCAAACACAATCGAACCTATAAAAACAAACCATTACAGTTTATTAGAAAAGTTTTATCTCTAAAGTCTAAACCTTATTTTATCTGTTATTACACATAGCTTCACAATCAGTAATTTGATGTCATTTATTCAAACAGCGATTGCTGTAATTATCCTTCGGTCTCCTCTGACCCAACGAGCGTTAGTTTACAACCCCATTTATGCTTATAGGTCCCTGAAGGGTCGTCTCTTGTGTCGACATCTAACTTTTGCACTTGACAAGTTTCTATATGAGTAATGAACCACTCCTTATCGTTTCTTATCTTATTCTTTTATCTCCTTCTCGGATCATTTTTAGAAGAGATCTTTCTTTTCTATAGGATAGGATTAATGACGTTTCTAGTGGGTTTCTTGATATAAAGATATAATACTATTTATACAAAGTAAACAACTGCGGTTATATGATGTATTTAAAAATATTCATATGAATTCGACTCCTAGATAATAATACAATGGGTTATGTTCGTTATGATTCGGTGCGTTGTTATGAGTCTTTGACTTAGCAGCAGGGGGCTGTCGGCACGTGTATGGTCCCCTTTACCACACCCATTGTGGATGACTACGAAATTTAAATTATACATTATACAGCCACACCGCTACCCGTTTGTGCTTGTTATTAATTTCGTTTTCTTTGTATTCGTTAGTCGAAGAGAAAATTAATTACAATTGAAATGATATTAATGGTAATTATGTTGATTTATATAGAACTCTGTCGGATATACGGCATAAATCACCGTTCGCATTAATATTTATTTGGCAGTCGTTTACATCTACCAACGCCCTTTGCGTGGTCTATAATCTTGATACGTTTCGAAAATAAGCAGCATAAATAATAATTGAAAAAATATTCGCGTCATTTAACTTCATATCCCAGAAAAGCTTTGATTTGAGAATTGTGTGGGCAGAGTTCAACATACAATGCGGCCTGTATAAATCAAGAAGATACCTTTCAACGCATCAATAATATCGAAGGTATAAATTCGTTTTATTACCAATGTCCATCGACGACCAACGTCAACCGGTTAGATTGGAAACGTTTCGGGGTCTGCAGAAGGCGGCAGAGCGGCGTATACGATAAAAATAAATCATCGATACCCACCCCTTGCGTTGTGGAAAGAGGGCAATTTCTGGTAGAGTTACCGTCACGCATGGATAAAAAAAGAACGGTAATAAAACAGCATAAATGATTAGTGTGTGAGAGTTGTATATTTTTTGACCGACCGAGAACGATTAATTAATTTTTACCATGGAACCCATTCAATTTGGCTGAAAGCTCATTACGAAGGCCGTGCATAGAAAACAACCTTTGCGCATCCCAACGCACGTCGGTCTTACAACACTAAGGGGATTACACAAATCCAGCCAATTATAATTCGAAAACGGGGACGTGTACACCATACGAAAGTAGCAGCACAATGGGTGCAGTTAAACAATGGCTCCATTGAAACCGACGCACGCATATTAATTTATTTACCGCTCATGCGGTAGCAAATAAAAGCGTATCGAGCTTTGATCCCATAAAGGAAGCTTTGACAAAAAAATAACGCCCGCAAAGTGCTGTGGACCCTGCACACTAATCATTTACGGTGCGTTATTTTTCCCGATTCTTTTTGCTCTTTTCCGTGAGGGGTAAAAGATACTAAGAGAGGGAGGATAAAATAAATGCCTTAAAAAAGCTGTTTAAGGGTAGATCAAACATTTTGCTTGAAAACGGAAAATCAAAGTTCCTAGCAACTGTTTCAAAAATGACTTAATTTACACCAACAATGACGGTTGGAATTAAATCATTAGAAGCATGATCAAGACTCTATAGCGAAATTTGCCGATAGCTACACCGCAATATCTATTTGCAGCGTTACACTGGTCCCAGTTCTGATTGATATTCGTTTGATCACGCGGCAATTGGTCCGTATTAACCCGTCTGGGGCCGCTTTCTGTAATTGACTAGCGCGACATAAAGGAAGATATCGATTGATGTATCGACTTCGAACCTGACCAGCTAATTCCAGATAAACACGGGCTTCCTCGGTAAAAGAGACGGAGATGGCGCTGCAATTACAGAGAATTAATTGACGGAGTATCGGCCTCGGTGATCGCACAACCTGTCGCGTTTGATCAACCGCAATCGCAAACTCCGCTCTCCGTGCTCATTCTTAAATCTCGGATTAGATATTAATCATTTACGTATGAAGTTTACTAATTAGAAAGTTACACGAGATAACTCTCGTATAAACATCAAAGACGAATTTCTATAAAAGAAAATTAAGGTAAAATAAGAGAATCGTAGTAAGTCCGATATTGAGTAACGATGTAGCAAAGGCTAATCCGGGATAATCCCGCTCAAAAAAAATTCCCATTTCTTTTTTCTGTTTTTCTCTTCGGATTTTGGACATTGTTAGTGTCTGCGGGGTTGCAGGTACCGGTTCGCTTGACAGTTATTACGCGAATTGGAACAGATTGTACTTGCGCGACCCTAAAGCTACCTCGGGTTTTCCATTGTACTTGCTGTCCCCATCACAAACGTCGAATGTAAAATTGAATGTAATAAATAACACTTGAACTGCATAATTGCACCGTTTCGCTTATTGAAAAAGGAAGAAGAAAAACAAAGTAGTCGATATTTCATTTCTTAAATTACTACTGGGTGTGTAAGCACCTATAAAAGTGGCGTAGCGATATTCTTTTTGCCGTTCGAGCAATCAAAAGTTTTACAATGCTTAGAATCCAATTACTGAAATGGCTTTTATAGCGTGTTCACAATACCTATAGGAACATTTTGATATAATGAAACTCTCATATTTACTTTCAATTACACTTAACTTCACTACACATTCTCTTTACATCAATTTTGATGTGAATGTTTAAAGGCGTATACACTCATAAAATTGCGGCCACTTGAAATAGGGTCGTATTTCCAGCATTTGGATTAACAGGAAACTTTGTACATTGTAACAGTCGTGGAGCGTCGTTTAGGGCACGTACAAACTTGCGTCGTTAGGGCCTCAAGAGTTATTAGTACAGTCTTACAGGCCCTACTTTATAAGCGAGTTGATGAAGTCGTAACCGTTTATCCCCGGTTGATTCGACGCCGATGGAATTAGAGCGAAGACGTCGCGGCGGAGAGCGTCGACTTTGCAGGATTTAGTCCCTCAGGGAAGAGAGGATTAGGATCCGGAATCGCACACCAATTATCAAACGAGGAACCGGGTCAACCCTAACGTCATAAATAAATCAATAATTTGTGTCGTGGTGAGTATGGATTATAAGTGATTTAAGAAAATAAAATTTTTACTACTAAATTTATTTTCGCTTTACTTTTGTTACATTAGAATATCAAATTTATTGGTGTATTAGGCCACTAGGTTTAACTGTTGAATACGGTTACAAAAACAAATTTCCATTTTCTACTTTTTGTTTGAAAGTCAGTTAGCGAACGAAGTTTGGATATTGAGTAGGTCAGATAGACAGTTTGCCGAAGCTAATAGAGCCTGAGTGAAGGGGGTTCGGTTTTTGCAATAACGCCAATAAGACTTGCTAATTTGGTTAATTGTCCGGACCATCGTCAAACTTTACTCAGCGACGACGTTCGGTAATAGTTTGCTGTGCAAACTTTGCCCTGGCGGAAATTTTGCTGAGGACAACCTAACCTAACCGGATTAGTACGTAGAGAGAGAGATGAAAGTCGCCCTAACGTTGCAAAGTCAGGTCCATGTACTTTAAGTTACTACCGGAATCCTGTACTTTTAGAAAAGAGGTTATGTAATCTTGTAATTAAGATTAAATCTAAAAAAAATACGATAATTTTTCTTCACGAAAAGAAAAGATGATTTATTCTCCAATCCCATTATCCGACCACCCCTTGGTTGTCAATCAACTTCCTTATGCTTCATTACAGAACCCCATTCAACCGAAATTCATCATAATTTCACCGTTTGT